GCAGGCGGTGGGGAATGGCTGGAGTGCCATTGACTTAACCAGCCCTTAAACAAGACAAGGCAATTTGTCTTTTTACAGGTGGGCAAAGTTCACACCACAGTGTTGCGTTGGTGTGCATTTAAAAAAGTACTGCATGCAGTACTTTTTTTTTAAGTGTGCCGCAGTGAGACGTGGTACAACTGCATTGCACTGTGATGTGCCCATAGATTTTAAAGTGGACCTTTACCCCCTTTGACAAAAAATCACCTCAGCATGCTGCTTTTCATGCTGATATGATATCATCTTGCATACATTAGCTAAACAAACATATTTTTATTTTATTTACAAAATTCTTTTTTTTTCACTTCCTGATCCACTTTGGAATAAATTATGTAATTGTGCCAAAGCATTGCATCCTGGGAAGGTTACATCACCATTGCTGGGAAATCTCATCTGTAATCTCATGAGATCTCAGGGAAAGGCATTTTCCTCCCCTGAGATGATGTGCATGGTCACATGTCCTAGTCACATGGGCCAGAGTTCCAGGAAGTAAAGAGAAATCTACTAGCCTACCCTTAATTAAAATGGCCACTGTCAGAAGACTGGGGAAGAAAAGAGAACTATGGTATGCAAAAAATAAAAAGCCTGCCATTATCTAGAAGTATCTGTTTGTAGATTGTTATTACTAAACATTTCTAAAGGTGTGTTTGTTGGTATTTTAAAGATATGGGTAAAGTTCCTCTTTAATTAAATGTCACTTGTGACATTTCAATAAAGTTCTAAAAAAAAACAACAACATCAGGAGCTGTGCAGTTGAGCGTGGCTGCTGGTGTAAACAGGCCTTGGGGCTGTTTTTAAAACCTTTTCCATTTGCCGTGGTCTGTTTCCTGATAAGCCAGCACTAAAGGGGTTACTCACGAAAGGGTGAAGAGTTTGGAGGAAGGCAGCTGAAGTGAACAATCTAGGACAACATAGCTGAACTGGAAAGTGAGCTGAATTGGAGATTTTTTCCAAACCAGCTATTTTGGCTTAGATTGTTCACTTCTCCAGCCTTCTCCAAACACTTCACCCTTTAGTGAATAACCCCTAAATGTTTGCAGTATGCTGCCAAGCACATTTTCCAATCACTGCCACCATCACCAATGTTTACAACGTATGTTACTGTGCTCCAGGCAAGTGGGCAAAATGCAGTAGGAATCAAAAAAAGGTGATTTTCCCCAAGCTGAAAAGGTATAGACAGGCTACTAGTTTATGGCACATTGTCTATATACTAGGTCTGGTAATGATTACAATTTTCGTGTTCGATGAATACATTTTTTTTAAAATCGATTAATCGATTAATTTCGATTAATTATAACGCACATACAGATCCAACTACATTGGCCAATACACATACAGCACAGCAATGAAGTAATAAAATGAACTACGATCACACTAATCCAGCACGTCATTAATCACACGTGCCCCACTCAATATGGCCGCCGCTTGAGTGGGGCAACTCAGAATAATAACGTGCTGGATTAGTGTGATCCTACTCCATTTTATTACTTCATTGCTGTGCTGTATGTGTATAGGCCAATGCCTTGGCTGGCGCTCGTGCACTTCGAGCCACTTGGGGAAGGGGGGAGGAGTCAGGTGACGTTGATGTCCATGACGTCACTGGATTGCCGACGGGACTCCCGAAAGCCGGCGGAGAGGTGAGTGTTTTCATTAGCGACCAAAATAATTTTAATCGATCAAAAAGTTTAACGATTAATCGAGAAATTAATCTTTAATTTTCACAGCCCTACTATATACACTTTTCCATTTCTGCAGATGTTGCGAAAAACCCTTCTGAGGGAAGAATCTGGGTTACATTTTTGCAGCCAAACAATCTTTTTTCCACTTATATAAGCCAGGTGCAGGAATGCCTAGCACTGCTCCCCTTCCCTCTTTCATAAGTCTAAATATGCAGATCTGACCTAAAGTTTAATGTATTGTATATTAGGAAATCTTTCATAGGGAAGATCTTTTGCAACTACATAGTGCTTGCACATCTGTTGGCATCTTAAGGGACACCATATATGGCTGGAGGTTCCCAAAGGTGCAAAATTACCGATTTTAAAAATCAGTAGCTTTGCTTTGGCAGACAATTGGTTTCTAATGAAACATCTCTGGATGAACAGTACCTGATTATTTCCTCTTAAACAAGAACAACAAACATGTATTTGATGAGTCTAGAAAAACATAATCGTTGGTCCTGGAAGTTTAGTGATGCAACTTAGAGTGGCAAGATGTCTCACTACATGTCACTATTGGATGTAATCTCTGGAACCTACTCTGCTACCACCAGACACATTTAGCAAACAATGACATATGTCGTGTGATATCTGAAAATGTATGTTGAATACTTAATACTTAATATTTTTAAATATTATTTATTTGTGAAAAACATATCACTGGTCAAGAAGTTCTATAGATGTCAAGAAGCAAAGCTATTAATAGGAGCATTATGTCCTTATCCACACTAATAATTTAGTTTTAACTTCACTCTTTCACTTTACATACATGGATCAGAGACACAAATGTTCACACCAATTAAAGGAACTAGCTTAGATTGAAGGGTATTCCACAAGTTCTGCACACACAAGTCAAATGCTCAGCCACTAAAGGTAGTATCCATCAGTATAACAAAAGAAAGATTTACAGACCTCTCAGTAGGGAGCATGGAGCTGCAAAGAGGTGAGGAATACAAAGGGAATGGGCTGATATTGAGTGAGGAAGCTTGTTCTCACATATATTGTACAGCCCCACTTGATCTACTGAAGCCAAACTCATGTTTTAGGGCAAGGGTTATGCAAGCTGTGAGAGTAATGGGACAAAAAGAGAATAAACAATAGGAGTCTGCATTCAGACAGAAAGCAGTGCAGAGTATTGTGACAAATCAGCAGGGAGCAATTCACAAAGTTGCTTCACTCCAACAAACCAGGGAGCAATGGGTGATATGCCTACGATGGCATTGCACATAAGCAAACCATTGCTTAACAATACCAGTATCGCAATTATACATTTATACAACAATAAGTCAAATGACAAGTCTGGGCAAATTATAGCACACTTTAAGGTGATGAAATAATACTGAAATGTCAGTCCCAGCCATCACAGAAATGTATTTGAATGGTGCATGAGTGTGTCACCCTCCCCCATCCCCATCTTGAGTCTTTCTTCCATATGCTATTTAATCCTCAGGTTGCTGGAAAGGAAAATCTCCCACAACAAGAATAACGCAGCTGTCAATCATGTGAAAATGTTTACATCATTATCTAGGTCCAAGAAAAACATTTAATTAGCAGCAACCTCTCTGGGCACATCCATCAACCAGTGTGATGAGACAGGACAGGAAACAGCAAATATTAACTCAACCAGAGACCGTTGTGTTTATTCTAGGGCAGAGGACACTTCTTTGTTTTACATACTCTGGAATGAAGCCTATTATGATTGATAAGATTCTCAACCAAGTTACCATAACATGCAAAATGCTCCTTTCCATAGTTTCTATCCTTCCTATAGTTCCTATCTGACACCATTAACATATACCAGTGGGAGCTGCCACTCTACCAATGTGTTGGGTGCTATTGTATACACAGTATTGGTTAGAAAGTTATAGTTGTAAACCCAATCACTGGCATGACAAAATAGCTTAAAGTGATATTAAAGTCAAAGGATTTTAAACTATTTCAAATGCTGATGAAATCACCTAAAATGAATGTTGCTTCTTAACACTTAAAAGTTTTAGCTTCCTGAAGAATCAGCTTGGCCTGATATTATGTTTTAGGATTGCTCCGTTCTCAAGCAGCGTGATATGCAGTCACCTTTGTGTGTGCTAGTAAGCTGTGTGTGTCTCCATAAACACACAGGCACTGCAAATCAAGCTACTTCCCTCCCCTCTGGCCCCCCCTCCTCCCTTCTCCAAGCTAGTAGATGAACAGTTGCTGCTCTGTCCCTTATGGCCTTGTACTGGACATGAAGTTCAGGGAAGCTGAGTTGAGAGACTTGGAAGCAGCTGTTCAGAAACATGATGATTGTAAGTGTTTGGGCAAAAATGTAAAGCAATGCTTTGCTGGACAATGAATATTTGATTGATCTAGATTCATTATAGAAAAAAAGTTTGAGGGTTTAATACAACTTTAACATGATAAAATACAGTAATTGTAAATGTGATTTTCAATCTATTAAAATCTCCAGTTGTCATTTAAATACTCCCTGGTGATCCTGCCAAAAAGATTCTTGTTCAGGTATTTTCTATTATAGGGAGGGTGACAACCTGAGCTGTAACTACGTGTGACTAGGCCTTATAGTAAAACAGACATCTTCTGTTTGTCTAATCTCCATATCAAAGACAAGTCCTCTAGTAACACAGATCTCTATCTGTTCATTCATTTTATCCAAATTCATTTGTCATCTACTGTATGTCCCTGTCTCCCAACTGTGCTCCTGCATTTTCATCCTGTTACACAAACCTTTAATATAGACTGCAAGTGGCTATTTTAACACATTTTGCATCAGTGAACTCCCCCTGAGAAATGTCATGCAGTCATCACTGAAGTGCATGCATGTATACAGGAAATTGGTGCAAAGAGGCTGCAGGAGATAAGCGAAACACAGAATACATAATTTAATTTAAGAATGGCAGTTGTTTATAACACACAGTGCTTTAGCAAACTAAATGTCATTCAGTAAGGGCCTATACACAGCGTTGCTGTGTTTCATTGACACACAATAGCATGTTGTATGGCATTTGAATATGCATTGTGTTAAGGTAGCCCAAGCATTATCAATCGGCAGCCAATGCATCACAAGGTGGTCAAAAAGGGCAAGCACCATTTCTTTTGGCACAATGCAGCACAATGCACAGCATGTTTTTCCATGCATTACCACAATGTATAGATCTGAATAGGCCATTTACACATACTTTAATAGTAGTCACATAAATCTAATATCTGTTTACAGTGCTTAGTATTACTTTTCACTCTTTACTGTACCTTAGCGTAGTCATACTCGCAGAGGTAAGATGGTTCCAGGTCGAAGTGTATAAAGTACAGCCTGATTCTGAATCCCTCTGGCACAGTAATATTCCAGGTCACTTCTGAATCACTTGGATACAACTCTGGAAAATTGGGTGTTCGGATCTCACCATACATGTCTTTAAGAACAATGACCTCCCCTTCAGCGAGCACCCATAATAAAGGAAAAGCGAGTTGGAAGAGCCTAAAAAACAAAATGCATCTTGTTACATATGTTTACAAAAAAAAAACTCAACTTTTTTATTTTACTTGTAAATATATCTAATTCCCTTTTGATTCTCTTGGATACTATTATATTGCTCTATATAAGAGAACTTCCCTCCAGTGTTCACATTGTCCTACATGTTTGTTGTCTGAGAGAAAAAGGTTTCTGTGTTTATTACCCAAATAAAACACAAATATTACCTTGTATGATGGTAAACTCATTTGTCGATTGTCAACTAGTAGCAGAAAACACAAATCCACCACTTCATAAATAACATAAAAAGGAAGAACCACAGCTCGACAATGCTCAGGAAACAATCTCCCTGTTCATATAGAAACCAGTCTAAAGGGATATCTCTTACAATCTAATACTTTAATTAAATTCCCTAAAACTGGAAGAGTGGAAGAATGGAAATTTCCAACTAGCTTTGTGTCCATCCAGGGAATTCCTCAAGGGTCTTACCATGTGACTCACAGCCAGTCCTTTTACATTTCCTGGCTGTTACATTGCACAATTAACAGCTAGATAAAAGTAATCCGATTCAAAATATTAACAGGTGATCAAGAGACACACAGTATAACAGAATTCTGAAGCATGGAATTATACAATTATTCACAATATACATTTAAACAGCATGTAACATATTTCAGCTTGTTTATCCCCTTTAACTCCATATAATTCAAACTTCTACTACGCAATCTATCTCAAAATTCTACAGACCTCTGAATTTACTATTTCTTTATTTTTTCAAAAGGATACCCCTAACTCACTTCTATAACTCATCAATGTCTGACCAGCATATTGGGGTTGATTTACTAAAGAAAGAAAGGCTGTTCAATAAGGAAAGTGAATTCTTTATGCCCACATTATGTATATGTGCACATTGAAAAGTGAATATTAGTAAATATTGTTTGCACAGTTATCTGCAAGAAAAGTTTAAAAAAAACAGGATTTTTGCTAGCCCATGACTGAAAGTGAACACAGATTCACGGTATTTACCAGCATCACTTTATTAAGAGCCAACTGTGGAAAATATTAAAAACCAAAGTATTAAAATAGCTGTTTAATGTTTTTCCACTTTTAAATACAATCTGTGGTCTCATTTTGTCTAAAATAATATGATGGTGTGCTATTAGGAAAGTCTTCAGTAGAACGTATGCAGCATGTACAGAATTTGGCATTTACTTTGTGTGTGATATGCTTGTTCCTAAGATATGGATTATTCTTACGTACCGTATATACTCGAGTATAAGCCGAGATTTTCAGCCCATTTTTTTGGGTGAAGGCTTATATTCGGGTCAATACTTTTTCCCAGTTTTTTTTGCTAAAATAAGGTACCTCGGCTTATATTCGGGACGGCTTATACTCGAGTATATACGGTAAATGAAATCAATTATACTTAAAACAGGAGATATTCACCCTAATTAGTGAGTGCATATTTAGGAAGAGAGAAACATATATATTAAGCAGTCTAGTCCGGGATGTGCTTGTTGCCCTCCATAACTCCATCAGGTAGTTCCTCCTGCATTCTTAAACTAAGAAGTGCGCCTCACAGATGAGGTACAGGATGGCATCTAAAAAAAAAAGCAATCCTCTGACATTAAGAACTGGGAGAGCTGTAAAAGCCACAGAGCGGACATGAAGGATGAAATCCAGGTTAACAGTGAGGCGCTTTTCATGAAACAAGGCTAGCATAAAGTAGGGGTCAGGCTCGAGAAGAGAAGTACGACAAAGGTTCTGATATGGGTCTGTGATATAGGATGTGGAATGCTGGCAGCACTGATGAATGTCAACATCAGGCAGCATTTTTCTCTACCATGGAAATATTCTTACACACTATAACATAGACTATTATACACTACACTATTATAAGCCTTGCCATCCTGTGTTCCATTACTTTTTGCAGTGTCAGTATATGGTGCGCACTAAATCTTGCCACATAATGCCAAGCATATACTGTATATTTCCAATGTTGCATTAGCTACATTCCTAACCTTTGCACTATCACTTTTTCCTGTGGATAAACAGATATAGATGGAGATTTGAAACAAGCAAGTAATATACACTTTTGCCTGGTCAGATTTCCAGAGGCCAGTGGGTCACCAGGTTTTGGTAAGTCAGGCCTGACAGGAAAAACTTTAAGAACCCTTGATTTGGAGCATACTATGGTACGTACCAGTTCCACACACCTTTGCCCCTCTCTCTTCCTCATCTCTCGACAGAAGAAAAAATGTCCAGTTGTAGAGAAGCTGGTTGCCATAGGCAACTGATCCAGATTCTCTCTGCTCCAGTTTTAAAAAATTCCCCTCTCTGTATTTTGCATTTTCAATCATCAGTCTTTACAATTAGTCTGGTGCTTAATTATCTCTCAAAGTTTGGGTGAATTATCTCCTTGGCTTGCACATCTCCCATTCTATAGGTTATTTCCTCCCATTGAAGTACTCGTGACTTATTAATCTTTTATATTTTATCAACTCTTTTATTTTGTTGGCAGTAGAACAGATAAAGGGATGATCATTTTTGTGAAATGTGTATTTCAATATGATAAAAAACATGTCCCATTTGAATACAGAGCTAGGCATGGGTTGATATGTAACAGTGTTCAGAGGGTTTTATTTCATATTAGAAAATTAAATACATCAGATTCATGAACTAATAGCTAGTGTATTTTGAAAGCCCAATACACTCAGATACATACATTTTCTAGAATGTACAGTACCGTTCTGGTGCATTTTTTCTTTCGCAAATGTGTTTTCAATAATCCACTGGAATATAATTTAGGAAGATTCACATGACCAGAATAAAAGAGGGAAGAAAGATATAGTTAACTGTTTTATTGACTGTAGGATTCATACCACAGCTAGAAAATGAAAAATTTTTTGCTGTGTGAGTAAAATATATCTGTACATATCAAATGGAAGGAAAATTGCTGATCTCTGTTTCACTGTGATTGTGCTAGGAATAATCAGCACCGTCTGAAAGTTATGTAAAGTGTCTCACTAATACTTCCATGGCAAGCACAGCACACAAAACATCAAACACTGTCTGTGGACTAAGCTGTCCTAGAGGTTGATGTTTTGTTAAATCATTCTGACAGGAATGAACAAGTCAGAGAATTGAAAAGGAGATGGTATAAAAATTGACGGCTGTTTCGAAGCCACACGAAGCAAGCCGATGTACGGCTGATTTCAGCCGATATACGGCTGAAATCAGCCGTACCAGCCTGAAGTGAATAGCCGAATAGTGTTCGGCTCACTTCACTTCTGATCGGTCATTCACTCGGCTGCCCTCGGCAGCTTTGTGAATAGACCCCTATATCTCGAAAGAAAAGAGAAGCTAGTGAGTAATGAAGTATAATTTGTGGTATTTAAATTGGTAGCGTTTAGTGCTGTGGCTGGGGATGTGGTAAATATGTAATAAAAGCCAGGGTGCTTCATCACCATCAAGTTTTACAGAATGTACAACGATTCATGCAGATTATTATAATATATACAGTAAATTAAAAAAATGAAAAAATGGGGGTGTTCTAAAACTTTTGACCAGTAGTGTATATATACAGTGATTAGCCATATCGTCATGACCATTGACAGGTGAAGTGAATAACATTGATTATCTTGTTATAATGGCATCTGGAAATGGTTGGGATATAATAGGCAGCATGTGAACATATTGCCCCTGAAGCTGATGTGTTGCGAGCAGAAAAAATGGGCAAGCCTAAGGGTTTGAGCAACTTTGTCAAGGGCCACATTATGATGGCTAGACGTCTGGGTTAAAGAAACTCAAAAACTGCAGCTCTAATAGGATGTTCCCAGTCTTCAGTGGTCAGGAACTACTAAAAGTGGTCCAAAGAAAGAAAACATGTGAACCGGCAACAGGGTCATGGGCGCTAAGGCTCATAGGTGCATGTGGTAAGCAAAGGCGGGCACGTATAGTTGGAGCCAATAAAACAATGACTGTAGCTCAAATTGCTTGAAACGTTATTGCTGGTTCCTATAGAAAGGTATCTCAACACATAGTGCATTGCAGTAGCCGCGTACAGCAGAGGACGCCGCGGGCTCGCAGGGACAAGGTAAGTGACACTTTTCTGTGCTTTCCCGAGTCTGGCTCGGGGTTACTGCTCCTGGTATTGAAAATTAACCCCGAGCCAGGCTCGGGAATACCGCCAGGGAGGTTAATGTGTACGGGGCGTAGTGCAGCCACAGATTGGTTAGGGTGCCTATGCTGACCTATGTCCACTGCCAAAAGTGCCTACAATGGGCATGTAAGCATCAGAAGCAAAGGAGCAATGGAAAAAGTTGGCTTGGTCTGATGATTCACATTTTCTTTTATATCATGTGGCTGGCCGGGTGCGTGTGTGTCAATTACCAGGAAAAGAGATGGCACCAGGAGGCACTTTGGGAAGAAGGCAAGCCGGCGGAGGCAGTGTCATGCTTGGGGCAATGCTCTGCTGGGAAACATTGGGTCCTGATATTCATGTGGATGTCATTTTGACAATTACCATCTACCTAAGCCTTGTTACTGATCAAGTACACACCTTCATGGAAACGGTATTCCCTTATTGCAGTGGCCTCTTTCAGCAGGCTAAAACACCCTGCCACACTGCTAAAATAGTTCAAGAATGGTTAGAGGAACAAAACAACAAATTCAAGGTGTTGACATGGCCTCCAAATTTACAGATCTCAATCCAATTCAGCATCTGTGGGATGTGCTGAAAAACCAAGTCCAATTCAGGGAGGCCCCACCTTGCAACTTACAGGAATTAAAGGATCTGCTAGTACTGGCTTGGTACGAGATATCACAGCACACCTATACAGAGGTCTAATGGAGTCCATGCCTCAATGGGTCAGGGCTATTTTTGTGGCAAAATGGGGACCTACTTAATATTAGGTGGGTGGTCATATTGTTATGGTTGATCAATGTACATACAAATCCAAATTAAAATATATTATGCACATGCACATATAACTTTAATACTTTAA